GGGGAGATGGAGTCCACCCTCTAACCCTGCAAGTTCCCCTGATGGTGCTGCTGAGGGGCTCCCTAGTGTAAATTCAGAGCACAGACACAGTATCATGGGAACAGAAGGGTCTGGAAATCATCATGCACAACACTCTTCACAAGCTCTGTGTACAGTACAGAAAAACTCCTCAATGTACCTACTTCACACACATGCGTGCGCACACGCGCGCGCGCGCGCACACACACACACACACACACACACGGAGACAGTACCTCAAAACACCCTGCGTCTTGAAGCAGTGCATCCACCTGGGTCAGATATTTCCTTCTTAACTCATTTTTCAGAGGGCTCCAAGGCACTGAAGGCTGATTACAAAGAGAAGTCAGTATCCTAAGAGCTGCTGGGCACTGCTGTCATGAATTCTGGAGCAAACCAACGAGCTCGTTAATGCAGACCTCTAACTGAAGCTACTCAGTCAGTCAGCCTGTACCTCCTGCTGTTAGCAGTGCAAAGTGGCCAGGCCCCTCTGAAAAACTGCTGGGCCCTGGGCTTAACTACCAAAAATAAAGTAAAAAGATGCAGAACATAAAAGCTGGGAGGTGTTTATGGCAGCTTTCCTAGAGGAGAAAACACCTGAAGGCAACCTTGTCAGCTGCGGGCTGACAAGAGAGGCCTAGGATCCAGCTCAGGACCTCTCTACACCTGGTGCAGCCAAACTGGGGTCGCAGACAGATGGGAAGGACCACAGGGAAGGCTGCACCAGGGTCTGTCCCGGGGCCATGCCTGCTACAGTCCTGGGAAGTTCCCGGGGTCTGCCACCCCTGCCCCAAAGGAGGTTTAGAGGGAAGCAGGCGCAGTGGCTCTCACATCTGGCAGCATGACACGGGACCCAGGGGCCAGGAGGGGTACGGGGCAGACTGAGCTGCCCATCCAGGTAGGCAGGAAGGAAAGAACCAGGCCACACAGAGGAGACAGCTCTGTGCCTTTGGGGCACTCGGGGCCAGGAACACACAGGAGCCTTATCTTCAGGCTAGCTTCAGCCACCTGACTGTGTGACCTTGTGACTAAACGGGCTCAAGGGCTGACTGGGAACCCGCCCCTCAATGCCACCCATCCCGAGGCAGCCCTTACCACCAAGGCCTGGGCCAGAGGACTGCCCAGGTCCACCGCTGCTCTGGCATCGCTGCCTCCTGGATCTAAAAGTGAAAAAGGAATCGCAATCAGAATTTTTGAGAAAGCTTGTCCATCCCTCTCAGGATGGTTTCATAACACTCTGAGTGTGTTCTATCACCAGAGGCTCCAGTGGCCTCTGACTGACAGCTGTGACCCTTGCCCAGCACTGTCCCATGGAGCTCCTGTGATGATGGAGGGTCTCCACCTGCTGTTCAGTCAGCAGCAAGCCACACCAGGCTACTGAACAGTGGGATGTGGGTAGCAGGACTGAGAACGGACTTTAAGATTTTTTGGGGTTGGGGGGGTACCAGGAACTCAAGGGCATTCGACCATTCGACCACTGAGCCACATCCCCAGCCCTATTTTGTATTTATTTAGAGACAGGGTCTCACTGAGCTGCTTAGTGCCTCCATTATTGCTGAGGCTGGCTCTGAACTCACAACCCTCCTGCCTCAGCCTCCCAAGCTGCTGGGATTACAGGTGTGAACCACCACGCCCGGCCTGACTTTAAACTCAATTAGAATTTGATCTGACACTAGTTAACGACACTCAAGACCAAAATCTCCATTAGTTTTGTAATTTGACTTTGAAAAACCAGTTTCCCCTTTAGTGGCTCAGCACAGATCACTGACTGTCCACTGGGGGCAAGGTGCCAGGGAAGGGCTGGGTGAGGGGATGGAGCTCTGCAAGGACCAGTGTTGGAGGGAGAGACAAGCGCTGGAAACATTCCGGGGCTGTAAGGAGGAGACCAAGCATAAAGCTGAGCTGCAATGGGGGTCAGCAGGGAGGATGTGGTATGGGCAGGGGGTCTGTTCTGACCTGGGGGTCAGCAGGGAGGATGTGGTGCAGGCAGGTCAGGCAGGACTTCAGGTCTCACTCTGGATCCTGGCCTCTTCCCACAGCACAGTGGGAAGCCACCTCATGCTTCAGACAGAAGTGGCTTGACCAGAATTCCTTGCATATCGGGGGGGGGAGCCCAGAAGGGGACAGGAGCTGGTGCTAAGGGCCAGGGGGGTGAGGCAGTGGGCCTGAGAGAGGACAGAGGTGACAGACCCAGGACAGCCTTGGACTTGAGGAAAGAGGGGGAGGCTGAGAAGAGGACCCTGGATTCTGGCTCATGCTGGAGGGGGAGGAAGGTGGACCTTGGAGAGCACGTCTGCTGCACCGTGGAAGTGCCAGTGTGGACAGGACGTGTTTATGGAGAGAGGTCCCCAGCAGCAAGAGGCACCGGAAGGGGTCTGGGCTGGGGGCAAAGCCAGGCCTGATAAGTGCAACAGGGGCTTCAGACCAACCCTGAGAAAGGGCACCCTGAAGGGCCAGCAGGTAACCAGCAGCAGGCCAGAGGACACGCAGGAGGGAACTGAAGAGCAGTGTGCAGAGGCCAAGGCCAGAACTTTCCGAATCTTCACATGCTACAGGGGGAACAGGTACAAGGTGGGCCCAGCAACAGGGTGGCCTAGAAGCCCTCCCAGAGGGAGGCTGCAGAGATGGAGCCTAAGCCAGAGGGCACCAGGTGAGGCATGCTCAGGTGGGGGACCAGGGAGGGTAAGGTGGGTTGTAAAGGGACTGAGGGAGGGAGGTGGCCAGGCAGGGACAGGGCAGTGGAGAGTCACAGGCATGTTCCACATGTGGAAGGCGAAATCTGACCACCCATAGATGTGGATGGGACATGTAGCCCAAGGGCAGGTTGAAGGTAGGAGAAAAGAGCAAGGCAGAACTGGGTCCAGGCAGTGAGATGGCCTGGGGAAGACTGACGGTTGACAGAGCAAATGTTCACGGCCATCTTGATCTTAGGTCTTGTCAAATCCTGATGTAATATATCTTAGACTGGGGTGGGGCGGGGGGGGGTGTTCATTTATATAAGAAATATCTGAGTGTTTTCTGTGCTGGGCACCATGGATATATAAGGACAGGGCCTACCCTCCAGGGACTTCAGAAGGACATGACAGGGTACTTCAAGATGACCTTAGTTTTTAAAATACCCCTTAGGAAACCGCACCCCCCCCCCAAGGGGAGGCACTCACCGGCTCTCAGGACCAGGGGGCACAAAGGCACAGGCTCGTCACCTCGGGCTGCGGCATACCCAGGGTCTTCCATCCTGTCCTCTGGCTTTCCAGGGGGGTACTAGTGGTACAAAAGTCAGCAGAGACAAGCTTACTTGAGCAATGGCACATCTGAAAGTCACCGTGAAGGGACAAACCTGCATCTGTCCTTGAACACAGGGAGCAGGAGCGCCTCAGGCTTCTTACACCTTTGCTTCATCAAGGGCCCAGAGACTCCCAAAGGCAGGGGAGGACCCCTGCTGGAAAGCAGCCCGCCTTCTCCCTCAGCTAGCCCCAGGGCTGCTGTAAGTCCCCTCGAGGGGGAGGTCAGCTCTGTCCTGGGACGACCTGGTCCCAGCCCACACAGGGTTCCACAGGGACTGCAGCAAACAAAAAGCCGAAGTGAAACAGAACAAAATTGTCACCTGGTCAATGGGGAGAATCCAGAAACGGTGGGGGCCCACGTTCTCAGTAAATGCCCAGAAGTGGCTTTAGGACCTTTACAACGTGGTGTAGCGTTGAGGTCCTGTGTGCATCCTACAAATCCCCTGTGCCTGGAGCTGGTCTAAACTTAGCTCCTGACCAGGAGTTCAGGCCACAGGTGATCAGCTGGTCACGCTCCTGGGGAGGCGTTTCTGCCCCTGGAGCCTGTTCTATACCAATGACATCAGCCAGTTCTCACCAGTGAAACGTGAGCATTCGACATTAATAATTAATATGGCTAAAATATTTCAGGAATTCCCATGGGGAGCACTGTCCCTGTAGGAATGGTCCTCAGGCACCTCTGTGGGTCCAGGGGACGTGAGGATCTTGTGAGCACTGCACTGCAACTGAACGCACTTCCTGGAGACCACTGCCTTTGCCTCCCAATGACATCGTCACACAGGTGGGATTCGGTGTAGTTTTCAGAGCTAGGTTTTGTGGCTGCCTGGGTCTAAAGGGCAGTAAAACTAGTTTGGGAAGCAGCCAGCCCTTACCAATCCCTGCTTGGCAGCGCTGGCATCTACAGAGAGAACCTAAGCCTTAGGTTGTGCTCAAACTGGCTCAGGGAGATGCACAGTCTCCAGGGACCGGGGAGCAGCATGAGCATTTGGTTTTGGGGGAGAAGTTTAAAGTGGATTTGGGCACAGTCACCAACATCTAGTGAGCTGTGGGGTCCACGCTATAATCACAGCTATGCCCACTTCTCTAAGCTCAGCAATTCTTTGGGTCCCAGGCAGGGGTCCTCCTGTATTTTAAGCAAAAGCCTAAATATTCAGATAAGCAATTTGCTACCAGGACCATCCAGCACTGGTCTGATTAAGTAGTTGCCTCTGTATGTATAATTTAAAGAGAATAGATCCTTTGACCTCCTATATGTGGGCATTGACTAAAAAAGGGGTGAGGGGACATCATACTGGGGAAATTAGGACCAGGATATTCCTCTGGGAACTACACAGCAGGGATTTTATTAATAGAGCTCATTTTATTAATGGGGGCTCATTCATATCATCCAAGCTGCCTCCCCTATAAAAGGGCTGAGAAGTTTATGCAGACATATAGCCAGCAAGGCCTCACATATTCACATCGGTCTTTCAGAGAAAGCATACCAACCCTGACTGATAGAGAGTCAAGAGCCAAGAGGGGGCTAGGGCCCGTCAACAGGAGACAGTTACAAATGCTAGCTGAACTGCAGGATGGACAATGAAGACAGGGGTCCTCATGTCTATTAACCAGGAAAGTGAGAGTAAAAACAATGTGTATTTACAAACATGTGTGCTGCAGACAATTTACATTAAACTAAAATGGCATCAGTGACCACTGCAGCACAGAGGTCAGACTAATTTTCAGCAGTTCTGTGTATTTTCATCATTTCTATGACTAAAATTAATCAAAAAGGTGGTTTGATTTAAGAACTGCTATCAACGCTGTGTATCCTCAGAGGAGGAGGAGGATGTGTTCATTCTTGGGTACATGGGTTCCCTGACCTGTGACCTTGAGGAGGAACGTGAGGTGTCTAAGAAGCACAGTTAATGGAACACCAGACAACCTTGCAAAAGTTACTGGGGCAAAAGGCTCCCAGGGTCTCACAGGACGAAAGCAAACTCTCCGGGCACAGGAGAGATCACAGAGCCCCAGGGCTGCGGGGAAGGTGGCGGGCATGGAGCCTGCCCGCTCCCCTTCCTCTCATCTCTCCCTCCCCTAGAAGGGACTGGATTGGGTCTGTTCCACGAGCACCCAGCAAGTGAGCTCCGGGCTAGGATGGCACGGCCTGTGAGAGGGCATTGAGCTGGCCCAGCCTCTGCACCGGAGCCTGCAACTTCTGACGGGAAATGCAAGGCATAAAAAAGAGCTAGACATCACGTGGCTGCTCCTTGCCCGACAAGCAACGAAGAAATGCTTCTCAGTAAATCCTCAAAAGCAGAACGGAGCAGTGAGGCAAGGAAATGCAGGGCCACCGCTGACATTACCTACCTGGATTAGTCCTTCGCTTCCTTCTGCTATTAGTTTTCCTCCCCAAATTTTCAATCCTTTAGAGAAGAAACAAAAATAACTGTTTAATCCTCAACACTGAATTTCTGCTCAACATGTTTTCATAGAAAGCCAGTGTCAGACACAAAAAGGATATGATATTAAAAGTGAGCCAGGATCCCAATAGTCCGTTGCTAGCCTTTAAGTTGAACAGACAGCTCTGTCGTAATGGAAACCTCCCCTATCTAATGGGCAGCAGTTCACTAAATTACACTAAACTGTAAAGTTGAATGAAAGCAGGAACATACATATGCCAGGTAGTGTCCTTATCCTTAAAATATACATGTACTAAGGGCAATAAATATACTGTATTTAGAGTAAGCACTTTTCTTTTCCTTTTTTTTTTTTTTTTGGTACTAGGGGTTGAACCCAGGGACACTTAACCACAGAACCATATTCCCAGCCCTTTCTATTTTTATTTTGAGACAGGGTTTTGCCAAGTTGCTGAAGCTGGTCTCAAACTTGCCATCATTATGCTTCAGCCTCCCGAGTTGCTGGGATTATAGGTATGTGCCACCATGCCTGGTAGCGTAAGCATTTTTTGAGAGCATTTCTACATAACTCAGAGTAAGTGCTTGTACCTACAAAGCAAGCCCATGCAAAGGGCCAACAATGAGTTTTGTCCTGCCACCTACCAACTTGGAGAACCTGGGCCATATACTCAAGGTCTCCCTAAACTTGCTGGGGGAAATTCAAATTAATAAGGAATGGTAGAAACTTGAGATAGTTGTTAATAACAGCAGCAAAAACTTACATAATGCTCACAATGCTTCAGGTTTATTCTAAATCCTTTTCAAGAATGCCATATTTACAATTCACAACTACCCACCCACACATAACTTGTACAGTTCTCCTGACATCTGTGGAACAGGGACTTACCACAGTCATCGTACAGATAGATGTGGGCAAAGCAAAGTTCAAATACTAATCCAGGCCACCTGCCCATGGAGCCAGAATGTGAACTCTGGGCAGCACTGATCCTGCACTCTTGACCACTAGGCCACAGGGCCTTTCCAGAGCAAAGTGATGCTTGCACACATGGGCTCAGAGTTATCAAGTTTCACACTTTGGTGAAGTGACGCGGTACAAGTTACTTAACCTTTTGGTACTGTATCCACATTTAATTGTGATGATTCCAACAGTGGTGCCTACCTTGCAGGGTGGAGAATCAGTATGAGGCTTAGGAGAGCAGGGTATGGGGTAAGTGATCAATACACTACCCCCTGCTGTCTTCGTCACAATAGGTGCCAGAGTTAGTTTTACTCTCCCCTTTGTGGTGCTGCCTTAAGCTGGCAATTCACATTACCATGCATTTTAGAAAAGGCCACGCTACTAATTATCTTATGAGAAGCACCAAGACAAGGGCCCCGGGCCAGGAGCAGGAGCCATGAGCTTGTAACACACAGATCTACTGAACTGGCACCCAGTACCTTGGCTGGTAGTGCCAGGAGCCTGTGCATTAGCCAGCTCTTTAGGTGGCGTCTACATGGTCAAGTGTGCCTGTTCCCAAGGTGTTGGGGTGCTTTATCCACTGTTCTCCCCAAACTGACACCCAAAGTTCTCACTGGCAAAATCAGTGGTACTTAATATTGTTCAAAACACTGCAGATGCTCCCTGTCCTCGCCATATGAAGACAGTGATGCCAACGAACAGACCCTTAGGTCATGTCCTGTCAGACCAGAAAGTAAAAGAAATTTGCTGCTGGAATATTTTAGTTTTTGCCTGGGTAAATTTTTCACTAAATGTGTGACTGGTTCAGCTAAAAAGGCAGAGAACAAGGATTTCTCTTGATTTAAGTAGCAGTTTTAAGAACCTTTTGTGCTTGTCTGTCTAGTGCTGGGCAGAATGTGATCTGAGATTTGCTTTCTTTAGTAGGTAAAAATGACTTGGTAATAAGGTCACATGGGAGCAACAGCCTCCATCTACCTCAGAAGCTCTCCAGTCACTTGTCAAAGAGAATCCACTTAAGGCATTTTACAACACGTGCATGTTCCAGCACCGTGGTCAGAACCTTGAGGAGGATGTGACTACCCAAGTTAAACACTGACAACAACAGCTAATGAGTGTCACTAGTGCCCAGCGTGCTCCAAGAGTCTCATAAGGGTTCTGCAAAACTGCTACCACATCCATGATGGGTAGGTGACTGTCATTATCCTTCCTCTCTTACAGATGAAGAGCCTGAGTTTGAATGGCTAAGCTGAATTGCCAACCCAGGAAGGCAGGGGCACAGGAGGAATCTCTGTGCCTTCAGGAATTCTGCTTAGTTAGATAAGCAATCCTGTTGGCAGTATATAACATACACGTTCAAAGGAACGAGTAATGTTGCAGGCCCAATGGTGAACCGGGTCACTTCCTACGTGGGCGGGGACAGCATTTCAAATCGAGGGCGGGGACAGCATTTCAAATCGCAGTCTGCACGGTTCATTCGTACACTCCACCGCAAACACTCAGGACGTTCCCTACCCTGGGGCGTCTGGTAGGTCAGCGTGGCCATCTGCACCAGTGGGTCGTCCTCGAAGGGCTGGTCATACTGCGGGGAGGAAGGGGCTTCGAGTCAGGTCCCCCGGCCGCACGGTCCGGACCCGGGAGAGGAGGTGCCAGCCCGCCCGCCCGCGCGCCCCTCCACCACCCAGCGGCGGGGACCACCTTCTCTATCAGCTCCCGCATGCGCCTCTGGAAGCGGCGGCGGCTGTCCCTGAGCTTCTGCAGCAGCGCGTCTTCCTCCAGGCCCCGGCCCTCCATGACGCACGCCGCTCGCCGCCACCAGCCGCGCGATGCCAGACCGCCCCGCGCGCTGCTCCCACCGGCCGCTCGGTCCCCACCGCCTCTCGGGCTCCTATTGGCTGGGGCGGATGGACTGCGTTGATTGGTTCATTCGAAAGTGTTTGCACCACTTTCTCTCCGCCAATCCGCGTCCGAGCTTCAGGCCCCGCCCCGGGCGTTGCGTGGAGCGGAAAGAGAGAGGGTGGGGTGAGCTGCGGCCAGGCAGAGTAGTGGCGGCCTCAGTCGTTGGGTGCCGCTGTCGCCCGTGCGCTCCGAGGTAGCCCGACCTGCTCTGTTCCTTTCCCTCACTCCCTCGGGAGCGCGTCTGCAGGACACTCCTCTATAAGCTTCCTGCACTAACTCAGCTTGGTTGCGCCCTGGGGAACCCGACCTACCGCAAGTGGCCACCAAACCTGTATAAGGTTCAGCTTTCCCAGTTTCCTGGAGCGGATGAGGCACCTCCTCCTCCTTAGGGCATGTTCTTTGTCTCCACACATAAATTAGTTTTTGGACATCTAATGCCACACATTTAGAGACTTGAGGCCTTGGACAAGGTCTCCTTTAAGTTTTGGAGAACTTTCTCTTCTGTGCCTGACTGGTGTGATAGTGCCACTTTTCAGAACTGGCCTTTCCCAAGGCTTGTTCCTCATCCCTGGGAAACCACCCTCCAAGGCTTTTCTGACTGGTTTCACTGACAATCCAAGGATCTGCCTCTGTCCAGGGGATCCTGGGCAGCTTCAGGAGAAAGACTTCTCAAGTCTCAAGCTCAAGTCTAATTGAAGTTCTTGCCAACCCTTCATGGGCACCCAAAGCCCTTGTCCAATTCTGGCCTGCTAGTCTTTCAGGTCCCTCTGACTGGCTTTCCCCATCCCTTGAGTGGTGGTCCAGCAAAGGAAAGAGGAAACCTAGTGATGTTTCTCATTTGATGCCATCCCTAAACTCCCTACCCACGCTTGGCAGCCTAAACATGTGCCTTCAGAACCCAGGCCTGCTAAGCAAACTCCTTCCCCATCACCTCCCACTCCCACGTAGAGGGGAAGTATCACAAGTCAGCTTCTTTCCCCAGGAGCAGGAGTTCCTGGGTGTGGCACTGTAGGGTCTCAGGGTTCCTATGGGCAGCAGAGTTCAGGGCAAGAGGGTGTGGCCCTGGCTTCAGGGTCTTTTCTGTCTGCACTTGCACCCTGCTCTCTGCTAGCCAAACTAGGCTTTCCACACTTCGAACAGCCATTTACAATAACTATGCCTAGAAAATCGTTCTCATTGGAGTTATTTTATGGCTGCTCTCATAAAACGTTCCTGAATTTTGCTTCAAATAAAATGGAAGGAGATTTATTCTGCATAGAGTTGCCACATAAATAATTTTATGTTGGTAAGGTGTAGAAATATCACCCCTTTGTCTTTTTTTGGGAAAAGCACAGCTTTTGGCTGGTCCCAGGGTTGACACAGAAATTGCTATGTAACAGTGAGAACCGCAGCCTACAGAAACAAGACCCCAGCTGATGCTAACAGAGACTGGGAAATAGCTGGTAACACTTGGATTGCCACAAGATGTCAGTCAAAGCTCACACAAATGTGTTTATTCTTTGATTTACTGAGTCTGCTTTTTAAAATCTGTCAAAGTAGTTCATGATTTTGCAAGGATTTAGCCAGAGGACTGTTAGCAAAACAATTGGTAATGTCCAGTAGAAGGTCACTTGAGTAAGTGATGGTGGGTAATATCTGCAGTCCACTCACGACAATTGTGAAGTACTATAATTATTGACATCTAAAATGTATATGATATTTTTATAAAGAAGGTTATGAATATATGCTTTACATGCCTGCATTTTAGAAATATACATTATATGTTTTAAATGTTTATATACATATGTATATATATGTATATATATATATATGTATATATTTATACATATACCATACCCACGTGTATATATTTATACATGTGTACACATGTGCAAACATGTGTACGTACGCTTGTGGTGTATATATAAATATATACACATGTACATATGTGTATGCATGTGTATATTATACGTATGTGCACATATATGTATATATGGATGGATAGATATGTGTATATGTATATTTATTTTAGAATTATCTCTAGATGATGTCTGATGGGTCATTTTTAATATTAGTTTTCATTAGTTGCATTTTCTAGAATAGGCATGTACTGTGCAAGTATAAGTGGATCACTCATGTAATGAAACAATCAATTGTTTTAGTACATTTTGTGCTGCTGTAACATGACCAAGACTGAGTAATTTGCAGTGAACAGAGATTTATTTATAGCAGTTATGGAGACTGAGATGTCCAGGACCAAGGGTCTGGCACTGATAAGGGCCTTCTTGCTACATCATCCTATGTGGAGGACAGATGGGCAAGAGAGAGCAAGGGGGCAGATCTGTCCTTTGAAAAGGAGCCCACTTGCTCGATAATGGCCTGGTCACCTCCCAGCTCTGTTTCATTGTGAAGTTTCTAAGACATTCTTCTGGGGGACACATTCAAACCATGGCACCAATCGTGTGCTTTTACCTTGGTGCTACAAATTCAGAAGCCACTTATCCAATTGGGACAGGTGTGGCTCCAAACACTCTAGGTCAGCAGGGAGCAGCGCATTGCAGGTAGAGCCCCCTCCAGCTTTGCCTTTTGAGCCAGATAGTGAGAGGACTTCTTCTAGGGCAACCCAGAGTGTCTGCAGAGGCTGTTGCCGGAGGTGTGCATCAATGGGGTACTTACTCTCTAACTTCCTCTCTGTGACCAGATCATCATTTCAACAATGATCTGAGTTCTCTGAGCTCTCATTGGTGAATTCATTTTGTTACCTTATGATTTGTGACTGCAGAATGCCACAGTCTGGCTGGGCACAATTCACCAGCCACTTGTCAAGCACAAACAAACTTTATTTTTAGAACACAAGGAACCACATGAGCTCTTCAGGAATTCCTTCAGAGCCCAATTGCCACCACAAGCTTCTGGGGAGCCTCTCAACGCCTCCCCCCCTCCTGCTCTTGAGGCCGATTGGCTGGGTCGTGTGGGCAGAGCCAAAAGAGTCCCCCAGTGAGCAGCTCCTTGGTCTGAAAGGGCGGGGAAACAGTCCAATGAGCATCACCGCAGAGGAGCCAATCAGCTGGCAGCTGGAAGTTTGCTGGGGCCACAGTGAGCCAATCAGCTGGAAGTTTGCTGGGGCCCCTTGGCTGTGGCTCTTAACAGCAGAAGTCTTTGTTTAAAATAATTAGATCATTAGACCTTTTGGTTTGGAGATAAAACATTTGGAAAATACCTTTGTTTATTTGGCTGCATAAACAAAGTGCATGCTGGGGCTCTTTGTGTGGATTTGTTTATGTGGAAATCTCAGATTCCTGCAAGAGAGTCTTCTTCCTATGGGAAGACTCACTGTGATCCCAAGTCTTGCACTTTTTTCTTGGATGCTCTAATTGGGAAGTTTTTGAAGTGCTAGGTTTTGAAGATATAGTACATTAAAATGAAGGTAAAGCATCTTATTAATAATTTTCAACATTGTTTATGTGAAACTGATCATATTTCAGATAAATTGGCTTGAATAGAATGTAATTCTAATATGTTTACATATTTCTTTTTACTTTTTGAAACCATCCCTGCATTCCACACTTCCTCAAAACTCTACATACAGTCAGAGGGTACCCTCCCTGGGCAGCCCTCTGACCGGCGCTGCTCTCTGTCACCACAGTCAATCAACTTCCAGCTCTGTCCTTTTATTCAGTACTGAGCTGTGGCTCATCCTTGCACAGAGTGGATAGCTCCTCTTCCACACTGCCGAAGCCATAGCTGGCAGATGCGCCTCTTGGGACCTATTAGGAAGAGCAGAATGTGTCTACATCTCTAACATGGCAATCTGTGGGCTACACCTGAGAGGCTCTGACTCCCTAATAAATTAATAATAATAATAATAATAATATTTTATTTTATTACTTTTGGTACTAGGGATTAAACCCAGGGGCAAGGAACACTGAGCCACATCCCCAGCCCTTTTCATATTTAACTTTTAGACAGGATCTCATTAAGTTTCTTAGGGCTTCACTAAGTTGTTGAGGCTGGCTTTGAACTTGCAATCCTCCTGCCTCAGCCACCTAAACCACTGGGATTAGAGGCATGTGCCACCATGCCTGGCCTAAAATTTAATATATATCTGCCACAGGGTGCATAATCCCAGATACTCAGGAGGCTGAAGCAAGTGGATTGAAAGTTCAAACCTAGCCTGAGCAATTTATTCAAAAAATAAAAAGGGTTGGGGATGTAGCTCAGTACTAGAGCATTTGTGGGCTTAATCCCTAGTACTTAAAAAGAAAGCGGGGGCGGTGGGGGGCAGCATATGTGGGTTAGTTATAATTTCTGCCCTTGGGGCTGTCAGTTACCACAGCCAGGAATGAGGAGCCAGCTTATATATACATACATATATATTCTAAATAATCATTCATTTTGTCAAGTTTTCAAATGTATTGGTTTAAATGAATGTACAGAATTCTCTAACATTCCGATCTTCACTGTATGTGTGGTGATGGCTCCCACTTAGTTTCTGACATTATTTACTTACACATTCTCTATCTCTCTTTTTTTCCAATAAACATATTTTATTTTTAATGTTTTTCCAAATGTTTATTGGTACATTACAGTTATACTTAATGGTTGTATTTGTTGTTACATATTCATACATGCACACAATAGAACAATATAATTTGGCCAATAGCATTCTCTAGTATTTCCCTTTTCTGGCCCCTCCTCCCACCCCCCAGTCCCTTTCCTCTAGAGATCTCCCTTCGATTTTCATGAAATTCCCTCCACCTTTCTTTTCCTCCAATAAAGATATTTTTTCTTGGGCTGGGGTTGTGGCTCAGTGGTAGAGTGCTTGCCTAGCACACGTGAGGCCCTGGGTTTGATCCTCAGCACCATATAAAAATGAAGTAAAGATATTGTGTTCTCCTACAACTAAAAAAAAAAATTTCCTAATTCTAATAACTGTAGTGTAATACCAGCAGACATTGAATATTAAATAATTAAAGCTTACAGTCCTGGCATTT